AACACTCTGAGCTTCTTGGGTGATCTTAGATAATGTTTCCAGCAAAATCTAGAGATGCTGCTGGAGTGCAGCTGGAGGGCTGGGAAATCGTAACACCAGAGAGATGCAATAAACTCTGCAGGAGCTGGAAGGATCCCCAGGGGTACCTGTGAAATGGGACAGCAAAACCTTCTGGAATCTGGGCTGAGGCTGCTCAGTGCAGCAGAGCCAAAAACTGGTCAGGGCCAAAACGGGGGGAGGAGAAGGAGGAGGAGGAAGAGGAGGAGGAGGAGGAGGAGGAGGAAGGTGCCTTGGAGGCAGGTGGCCCCACAGTTGTTTGCAATGGGCCTCTCCCTTCTCCTGTGATGAAACTGTTACCAGGTCCTGCCCAACAAGGCGGGGGGACTATTTAAGCCTGAAAGGCTCACCCAGCACAGGCAGATTTCATCCAGCACTTCTGTGGCAGAATTGCTGTGTGTCCCTCACAGCCCAGCCGTGTGCTGGCTGAAGCAGAGGGGGGGGACAAAGCCTGTTTCCTTTGGGTGTGTGGCAGTGGGAAGGTGAGGCTGCCGTGGGTGGGCACACGTGGCTCCTCCCAGACCCTGGCACCACCTTTTCCAACTCCACATCCACACCCTCCCTACGCTGATGTGTTTGGGACAAACCACCGAGGTTGCTGAACACATCTCAGGGGGCACGACTGTGCTGTTGCCCACCCGTTTTGGTGCTTCACAGGGATCCTTTTCCATCCTTCCAGCTTCTGATCAGGTCTTGTCAGGAATATTCAATTTGCTTATGTTGCTACACAGAGAAAAACTATGAATTATCTACCTGGGGAATATGACTCATTCTCATAATTATATGCTATAAACTAACTCCCATTATATTATCATCAGGCAGTTTTATTAACACCAGATAATCCTGTAGGATTTCTCCATAGTAGAGAAGAAAGCCAGGCCCTGCAGTGTGACTGTGTTGGAGGGTGAACACTTATTTGTACACTGCTCTTCCTTCCAGTGAGGTTCAGCTGCCTGACACTTAGCATGAAGCTGTTCTCCTCTCCCCTAAAATTTAAACGATGAGGGTTTTTTCCTTATCCCAATAAAAAACTAGATGTTTGAAAACTGAAAAATCTGATTTAGATCAGTTGTAACATATTAGGGCTCACTCATGTTTATCCTGTCAAAAGACCAGTGGGCTTTGGTTCATTGCCACAAACCAAAACACACAGTGTGGTTCTAGAGCTCAGTGAAATTCTAGGACCACCATCTGCAAGTGGTGGCCTTGGCAGTGCTGGGTGAAGGGCTGGACTCGAGGATCTCAGAGGGCTTTTCCAACCCAAATGATTCCGTGATTCCCTGATGCCAAAACATATTTTAGGCACTTTTTAAGTGAAGGGTTTTAAAATATGTTTTGAAGTGAGAGAGTAAGTCCCCACCTCTCCTGGTGTCTTCTGGTGTAAGTCTTGGTGTCCACCCACACCCTGAGGTGTGTGGTCACAGGGAATATCCCTGGAACCTGCCCCTGTTTGTCCAATGGTCCAAACACAGCACGTTCCCCCAGTGGTCAGTAAAGCTGGACTCGGCGGGGGGGGGACGTGCTGACCCCAGGGAAGGGCAGCCAGGGGTGTCCGATCCAGCAAACATCCCTCCTGTAGGAGAAGAGGTAATTCCTGCCTCCACTCTGCCCCATCTGTTACTCACTCCCTGTTGCAGAGCCGAGTGGTGATGAAACGTTAAAGGGCACCTTCAACAGCTCCACCACCCAAAGGAGTGATGGTGGCTGCGATAGGAACAAAAATTAGGTGAGTCAGAGCCGTAGATTTCGGAGCACAAACCCCTGGGTTGGGAACGGCTTCATCTCGGGCCTGAGCAGCCCCTGGCCCAGGTGACTGGGGTCTCAGCTGATGCAGCTGCACTGGCAAGACCCTCGTTAGCAAAGGGTCATTACAGCGCATTCCAGCCCCCGCGGGGACCCCGAGTTTCGCTGTGCTCCCGCCCAGCGACGTGATGCAAAATATCCCGGTGCCGCTGGAAACATAAACAGGTATTAGCAAATCAGGGAGTGAGTTTCGGCCTGGCATTCATCCCGCACGCCCTCGCACGGGACGGCACCGGGGCGGCCCGGGGGACACCGGGGGTCTGCAGGCGGCAGGGAGGGCACTGCCCGTCCCTGGGCTGTCACACACGGAATCGGGTCGTGCCGACCTCACTACGAGTGACACCACTAAATACCGGAGGAGCTGGAGAGGGATGTCCGGGCTCACAGCGCGTTCCGTGTTTTCCCGCAGCGGGATCTCCCGGCACGTCCCGCAGACACCACCCGGCTCTGCTGTGGGAGGATGAGCCAAGCCCCCAGCTCCGGGTTTGCCGCTCGCCTCTGCCCCGGGCGCCCTCCGGCAGCTCGGTGGGAGCCGAGTGCCCTCTAGAGAGCACCCGCGGCCCAGGGTCGGGGAGTTCTCAGCTCCTGCACCTCCAAATATCTCCAAATATCCCGTGTGGTGAAATGCAGAACGTGTCGGGATCCCACGGCACGGTGGGCGCAACACTCGGTGGGGCAGAGGGAACACTGCCCACCCCCCTGCAGGGCAGGGGACCTGGGCAGGGCTGAAACTGCTGCAGATTGTGGATATTTACATTTTTATTTAGAATGTATATACGTTTATATAATTTTATATAATTTTATATAATTTTATATTTATTATTTATATACCTATTATTTTAATCACATACTATCGTACTCCTGCTAGATAGGCTACCAGCAACTAATTCCACTCAGCCACAGACAGGATTAGCCCAATTTAGTGTCTTTGGGCCTCTTAGGAAAATGTGATCCCTACTTTCAGGAGAGTCTCAGACTCGGGTAACGCGGTGACTCGTTGTTTGCACTCCTGGGGCAGAGCAGGGCCAGGCCAGGCCGGGGCTCGGGAGCAGGACAGACACTGACAGGTCCGTGTTTCCTTCGGATCTGCCGGTTGGGAACAGCTGACACCTGATGGGGAGAGCTGGGAAGTGCCAGGACTTCCCAGGCACTTTCTCCATTTCCTTTTTCCTCAGCACCAGCAGCACGTGCATATCCGGATCATTAATTACTCCAGCTGCTCTTAGGTTTTTTCCTGACATCAAATGCAGTGCTCGTGGAAAACCTGTGCTTCAGTCTCAGTCCAAACTGGACGGTTTTTGGATAGGTCAGTTTTGCCCTGTCTTCTCAGGCAAACACATGCTCAATGTCTCTGTCCTCTGGAAAAAAAAAAAAAAAACAAAACAAAACAAACCCAGTATAAATATTTTAAATTTCTCTTTCCTCTGGGAAAAACAAACAGCGAAACTCAACCCAGTATAAATATTTTCACAGGTGCTTCATGTTGCTGTTTCTCTCTGCGGTACAAGAGGGAAAGGCCAGTGCCGATGGCAGCAGAAAGTGAAAGCTCAGGTTCCCAGGATTTGAGTTTCGGTGAGGATCTGCCTCTCACTCCAGAGGATCTTTTTCACGAAGTCCTCGAGGAGGAGCGAGCAGCAGCTCCGGGGTTTTGTACGAGGGTTTGGGCCACGGCAGAGCTGCCTGGAGAGATCCGAGTGTGGGAAGAACCGGAGGCGACCCTGCCCGGCCCCAGGAGGGTGCGGTGCTGCCGCAGGAGCTCCCGGTGTCCTTCCCGGAGTCGGGATCAGCGGCTGTGATGGAGCTGCCCGTCCCTCCCGGCCGCCAGGGATCACTCTTGTTCCTTCTCCGCTTCCTCACTGCCGAGATTCCGCCCTCCCTTTGCCCGTCCCCTCTCCCGGCTTGTTGCAGCGCAGAACCCAGCCAGAGCAGGGGCAGAAATGTTCTTTTCCAGGTGTGTGGCACAGTCAGGAGCGGGGTTTGGCATTTGCTTTTATGTTTAAAATGCTGTTGAATTTCTCAGCAAAGGACTCCACAATATTTGACACGTGTTTAGGTGTGACAAATCTTGGTGCCGTGTCATATAAACTACAAAAAGGGCTTTCAGGCCATGAGCTCTTTCCGTCCTGTGGGTGTCTCTGCACAGCTGTGAGTGTCCCCATGAGAGGAGATTGCTGAGAACATTTGAGTGCTGTCATCTCAGCACGTGGCCTGACAGGCACCCGGGAGAAGGGGCACTGTCCTCGCAGGGTCCCCCTCCCTGGGCAGGGGTCCCGCACAGAGGAGGTGGGATTCGCTCTGTCGAGGGGCAGCAGCACCTGGACATGCTCACACTGCACAAGTCCAGGGGACAGGTGAGGCCAGGAGACACCTCTCCCCCCCGGGTGACACCTCTCCCCCCCAGGTGACACCTCTCCCCCTGGGTGACACCTCTCCCCCCCAGGTGACACCTCTCCCCCCCAGGTGACACCTCTCCCCCTGGGTGACACCTCTCCCCCCAGGTGGCTGCAGCCACCACTGAACTCCCCAGCACCAGCTCATCTCGCAGTTTAACACCTGACACATCTGGAGAGCAGCTGGAGATGTGCACCAGGGATGGCTGCTGAGCCAGTAGCTGTGTATGGATACACACCACCCTGAGCTTTGGCACGGGAATTTCTGTCACTCATCCCTGTTCTCCTTTCACTGAACTCCAGCTCCTCTGGCTTGGCTGCCTCCTCCCATGTCATACAGGAACAGGCAACATCTGCCTCAGGCTGTGGCAACAGGGAGGAACTGGACAAGACCTGCCAGGTCAGCAAGGCCATTCTCTGTGCAGGATGATCCTGTGATCCTGACCAGTTTAGGTGCCCACTGTGCCCATGGCTCAGCACCTGGTGCTCTAAAGGAACTCAGTTTCAGACCCAGGTTCTTGATTGCATCAGGCACAAGCAAAGTTTTATTAGAGACGTTTTTCAGCAGCAGGTACGTTAGTGACCCTGACTAACTCAGGTAATTTCTAGAGGTTACAGCATTGCAGAACAGAAGAGCAGAACAGAGGAGGGGGCTCCTGACACCCCCTTTAGCTACGTGGCCAAGCGTCGCTGAGTTACTTCTACTTTCTCTGCACAGAGGGTGCAGCGAACACGGAGTGTTCTGGGTTTGTCTCTGGGTTTCCCTGTCACCTTCCAGTCCGTTCCTCCTTAATCACAAATTCTCCTGCAGGTCACTGGAGGGAAAACACAGCAGCATTATTTGACTGAAACAGAATCCTTCAAATAACAGAAATTGAGTCTGTGTGGTGCCCTCATTTCTAGAATGCACTGCTAAGCTGGAGCAGTTGGCAGCAACCCAGGAAACCCCAGATATTCCCCAAATAATTTACTTTAATGGGAATTTTCTTGTAAAGTTATAGATTTACTCTTCTTTTCACTCCTTCCAGACTCTTATGGTAAGTTTAGACTCATCTTCTTTACTTCTCTCCATGGTACTGCCTCCTCTCATCCCCCATTTGTTTCCTGCAGCCCTGTGTTCAGCCCGAGCTCTCTTTAACCCTGTTCCTCGGTGGCACCACCACTGTGACAGATCCCTCCTGTAGCACAGTGAGTCTGAGAGGATGCCAGTGACACGTCCTAGGACTGTGCTGTCTCTGGCCCTCAGAGCTCAGGAGCAAACCAAACAAAGCCTGTTTTCCTGTTGTGAGCACACGGCCCTTACCTTGTATGTCTCCAGTCTTGCAGGGTGGGACCTGGGGCTGGCAGTGGGCAGCTGTAGTTGTTGTGTAGGTGTGGCTTGTCCTAATGACCCCTCCGCCAGTTCCGATTCCTCCTCCGTGACTAGTGAGACAGACAGGCAATTTTAGAACTTCACGTGTCACTGCTGACTGGCTACATGGCACAAAGTTTCAGACTGTGTCCTTTATAAGGGTTTTTACATATAGAGTATTTTACACCACATTTTCTGTCACTCTCAGAGTTGCTTTACATTTGTGCTCCCCCCTGGCGTGGAACTGCAATGCAGTTGCCAATTAATTGCCATTAATTCCCATTTTGACAGTTCTCACATATATCACCCCAGAGAAGAGACTGTCCTAATGCTAGGACAGACAGTGTTGTCACCAGCAATTATCAGATTTGGTATCTCTGCTTTGCAGATCCCAGGGAGTGACATTTAGTTCTGATTTCAATGTTCATCACAGTGAAGTTGCTCATAAGACAACTTCTTCATCTCAAAGAAAGCATTAAGAAGGACTAAAGATCCGGCTGGATTCCCAATCTGTAATACAGATCCGTGATATTTTCATGTATTCTCTAGTGGATTTAGAGATGTACATACATGAGGTCCTGCTGTCCTCCTTCCAACAAGCACCGGTAGGTCTGGATCTCCTGCTCCAGGCGGCACTTGACGTCCAGTAAGGTCTTGTACTCTTGGTTCTGACACTCTATTTCCGCCCTTATTTCAGCCAACTGCTGCTCCACACACGTGATCTGGTTCTGTAGCTCACCGAGGAGGGTGTTGTACTGGCACTCAGTCTCAGCCAGAGAGGATTCCAAGTTATTTCTCTGATAAACAGGACAAGCAAAGAAACAACATTCATTTTAAGCGTCACCCTGGAGTTTATGATTTCCAGTCTAGAAATGAAGGAGCCATTCAGCACCATTGTGCTGGTTGGTGGGTCTGGCTGTTCACACCAAGAAACCCAGCAGTGACCACGTCCGAGCTGAGCCAGCTCGTCACCCACCTGGCTGAGCTGAGCTTGGAGATCGATTTCCAGGGCTTGCAATTGGCGTCTCAGTTCGGTCACCTGGTTGTTGCACGTCTCCACCTCCTGACCACTTGTAATCACCTCCCGATTCACCTCCTCAATCTGAAATCACCAAGCCAGGGTAAAGAGCTTTCAGGAGGTATCTGGGTACATCGGGCTTGGTTTTACAGGAGCAGAACACAGGGAGTGTTCAGCAGAAGTAAAAGGGAGCAGGGCAGGTTCTCTGTGCACAGGGCGTTCCCTGCTGGCTCCTGTGCTTGTTCATTTTACAAATCCCATTAGCCCCATGGCTAGTAAGTCTCTTTAATCCAAATGTGGAATATCTGTGTTCCAGCAACACACCACAAGGCCTTGTGGCAAATGCTGCTGTTCCAGGTGGGACATAACAAACTGGTCAGACAGGCCTGTGGCTCCTATGGAACACAGGGTATAATGAGTGCTGCTCTTGGGCTTTACTGAGAAGCAAGAACTGCTTATTGTCTCCAGGTCTGGTCTCTGAGAGGCTCCTGAGGCCTGCGGGGTGAGTGTCAGTCTGGTTCAGGTGTGTGTCGCTCACCTTGCACTCGTACCAATCCTCGACTTCCTTGCGGTTGCGTTCAATCAGTGTTTCATACTGGCATCTCAAATCCTCCAAGATCTGCCTGAGGTCTGGGCCAGGGCAGGCATTGACCTCCACACTCACATCTCCAGTCGACTGCTTCCTCAGACAGCACATTTCCTGGAAACACCATCCAGATCAGGTCAGTTTTTAAAAAGGAGGAAAGAACTGAGGCAGCCAAGTTGCCCTGCAGGGAGGAGCAGAGCCTGGCACAGCCCCTCTCTGCTGGACCCTCACAGCTCCGCGGTCACACCATGGTCTCCATCAACCACTTGCCCCCCAGAGCAGCATCCTGGGGCGAGGGAGGATGGATCCCTCAGGAGTGAAAGGTTTTCAGAGGAGAGGGGCAGGACCTACCTCCTCGTGGTTCTTCTTCAGGCAGCAGAGCTCCTCCCGCAGCGACTCCAGCTGTGCCTCCAGGTCGGACCTGCAGAGCGTCAGCTGGTCCAGGACCTGGCGCAGCCCGTTGATATCGGCCTCCACGCTCTGGCGCAGGGCCAGCTCCGTCTCGTACCTGGGTTGGGCAGGAAAGCACAGATTCAGGATGGGAACATCCCACACGGGCTCTCTTTGTGCCCAGATCTCCTTTCCCAGCTCCCTGCTCTGGTCTGCATCTGCTGTCCATGTTGAATGCACCGTGCCTTGGATTTCTGCACCACTTCATGTCTGTTATGTGAAAGCTTTCCTTCCTCCTCCTGGTTTTTCCCTGCTCCTGCTCACTCTGTATTTGGTATCACTTACTCAGCTGCATTTCTGCTTTGCTGATCCCATCTGTTCTGGTCTGGGGTGGAAATGGACCACTCCCTGCAGTGCCCGTCCCCAGCCTCACCACAAACGCTGTTGCTAAATGTTTTACCAAGAACACTAATTAAGGGAGGGCTGGTGACCAGGAGCAAAATGCCTTTCATCATCCTGCCCTACCACAGTGGTGTGGGGAGACGTGTCTGGAGCCTCTGTAATTAGTGCTCTGAGCCTCCCCAGCGAGGTGGGAAGGAGCAGGGGGGAGGCAGCAGGTTCAGAAGGGGCACTCACTTCACACGGAAATCATCAGCAGCCATCCTGCTGTTATCGATGTCCAGGATGATCTTGTTGTTATCAATGGTTGCACAGACAATCTGGAAAAGAGCAGAGCATGAGAGATGCCTCCTCCTCTCCTGTTCTGTAGGTCTCTCTGCATTGCAATTAGGCAGTAGCCCTGCACAATTCCCTTTTTCTGTTACCTTCTCACTTAAGTAACCTAGTCCCTTGAGCAGAGAAGTTGAAGGAGGGGGCTTTGCCTCCTTTACTCACAGTCAGTAAAGAGATCAATTATGTAGAGGTTGAGTTAAAGAGCTGTGAGATGGGGCATCTCAGTTTCAAGATCTGAAGGCAAGTTCCAAAGAGGCTTCACAAAGTGAACCTGAAGAACCTTCTTTAAGTCACTAAATCTCAACTGATATTCAAGCTGGAGTGTTCTGGGCTTCAGACTTAAGGGACTTCAGGGAAGATGGTTGGAAGGTGTCTTTAAGCCTTAGGATCAGCTTTTATTGTGGATTTATTAGTGTGAGGCTCTTTGTGCCCCTGTGACAATCAGTTTCAATACACAGCGTTTCTCACCTAGAATTTATAATGTTTCACTTCATAAAGCATTCAATGTGTGTGTTTTGCCCTTGTTCCATAGTTCTCTTTGCTTTGCTTTCCCTACAGAGCTGACACCACTACATCTCCTCAGAGCACACTGGTAATACCCTATTTACAGTTGTACACTCCAAACACAACGTACCAAAGCATCCTTTCCCTTTTCCAGAGCGTTCTCCCACCCCTACCACCTTGCAGCACCCATCCTTGATGTGCCCCCACACTCAGCAGTGTCATAGGGGAACTTGCCAGAATTAGTTTGTGAACACATTCAGCAGCACCAAAGTTCCCCCGACAAGTGCAGCAGGTTCTAAACAGAAATTCAGCAACGAGCTGTCAATGGCAGGAACAACCCAGAGGGGCATTACCTGGTTCTGGAGGTCCTCGATCTCTTTGTAGTAGCAGCTGTAGTCCCGGGGCTCGCAGGACAGGCCCTGTGTCGCGTACCACTCTCTGATCCTGCACTCCAGCTCGGCGTTCTCCTTCTCCAAGCACTTCACCTTGTCCAGGTAGGAGGCCAGGCGGTCATTGAGGTTTTGCATGGTGACCTTCTCATCGCAGGACGACAGCAAACAGTCGCCACCGAGACCCCCAACAACCACCCCTCCTCCGAGGCCAAACCCCAGGCCATTGCCATAGCAGTTGCCACCTCCATAGCTCCCACCAGCCAAGCTACCAACGCTCAGTCCCCCTCCATAATTCACTCCACCGCAGTAGCTCCTTCCAGAGAAACCTCTGGCACTGCCTATCCCATAGGAAGAAATCCGTGCTCCACCACCACCACCAATGATACAGCTGCCACCACTGCTCCTGCCTTTGCTAGACACAGTAATAGTCTCCTTAATGTTGCAACTCATGGCGACAGCGGTTGGCAAGGCAAGCAGAAGCCCAAAGCAAGATGCACAGCTTGATATGAAATCAGACTGCGAGCTGGCCGTGGCCGCCCATCCCTATTTATACCTTCCACAGTGGGTGTCACCACTGCTCCTTCTTCCCATAAGGCTGGCTACTCCAGCCATTGGTGCCAAGAATAATTTCTCAAAGGGAAGTTTCCTTTCAAGAAGCCTGGTAGACGAGGAAGATGCTTTACATGTCTCTTGCTAATTTCAAAAATACATTAGCAATAATGTTTTATGAATCATCAGCTTTTTGTTTATGATGCAAACTTACAGCATTAAGCCAGGAAAAACACTGTCCTAAATTACATACCAGGAAGAAATCATTAAAGGTTATTGCATCAAAGAGCTCTTTATCTCTCATTAATTTATTTTCATTTTATTTTGAGTTGAACAAGCAGTTTTCATGCAAGGTGCTGAGGTTGGAATATGCAAGATGAAAAAGAAAGAAGAAATACTAAGTTTGCTTCTCGGATGATGTATGAGGAATGATGTAAGAACTCTGTAGAAAGATCAGAGACACAGAGATTAACCTTTAAATCTCTCCACTGGCAAAATGACAAATCTGGAACACTCTGCTACGAGACAAGTGAGACCAAGGAGGGATCTCTTAATAGACACGGATGAAAGGTTCTTCCTGTATGATTGTGGCTCTCCAGTAATTCACAAGGGATTTGTTTCATTATGTGGAGAGTGTAAAGGAAGGTAAAAGTGCTTTAAATATTTCCTGTTGTTCAGTGGAAGATAATTTCTACACTTTTCCTCATTATGGATTGTAATTGTTGCTGGGAAAGGGCGGTTTTGAAACAGTGGATGGGAGTGGAAACATCCTATGGCCAATTTCTCTGTCAATATGTGCTGTGCTCTAATCAGAGCTTCGGGATTGCTGTCCTGGCACATATAAAGACAGATCTGCTGATGGAGCTGCAGAGCAGTCGCTGCCCAGTGCAGCTCCACATGGGCTTGGGAAAGGTGGGTTTGGTACAAACTAGAATTTCTCTGTCAGTAAAATTTCCAAATCTTAATTAGGCAGGGAAAATAAAAACTAGGGATCCTTTCACACTTCTGACATCAAAAGTGAGGCTGAGCTCATTTTCATGAGATGCTTTGCTGAGACTCCAGACCACTGGACCTCTCCCTGGGAGCCCCTGTTCCAGTGTCCATGGAGCAAGGGTCAGGCGTTCCTGAGCTTTCTGAAACCAACATTCCCTGTAAGAAATTCTGCAAGCCTGCTTCACCAGGGAAGAGTGACTTCAAACTCTTGCTGAAATGGCATTATCAAGTGAAATAGGTTTTGTTATGGAAGATAAATGATCCCATTTACCAAAGGACTGAATTATCCCAGTATTTGTGGATTTTCCCATCATTTTATTGCTCTTATTTCTGCTGAAAAGACGCCTTCCCTTATCTTTGCCTCCTTGGATGTTCCTTATCCAGCACCATAACAGCCAGCAGCATTCCAGTGATATCTCCAGCAAGCTGGAGACGGGTGTGGAGAGACTTCTCAAAGTGATTTTACTCAAAGACAAAGCTCTCGGCACTGGCAGAGCTGCAGCTGGGCCCTGCCTGCCACGCTGGGCCTCCCTCCAGCCCCAAACACACAGAAACAAAGCTCAGAATAGGCAGAACCTCTAACAAAGTTACTGTGTACAGGGAGAAACAGCTGGATTTCATCCCTAGGACCCGAGAACATAATTGGGAGCCAGGGCGTGGCGGCAGGAACGGACCGAAACTGCCGAGAGCTGCGGCGCTGGAAGCTTCGCCCGGGCTGCGGATGATTCCTCAGGAGTTTCCCAACAGCTGTCTGCAGCATCTCTCCTGAGTGAGCACACATTCCTTCCCGGCTCCACATTATCACTGCAGCACATCAGAGCAGCAGAGGCAGGAACACGGGCTGACACTGCTCCCTGGGAGGGGAGGGTGTCTGCGTGCCCGCTGCAGGGACGGCTCCTGATCCCTCTGGACACCTCAGACCCACCTAAACTGTGCCCAGGAGCCTCAAACCACACACACTTCCCTCTGCCTCGCTATTTTTCCTGTTTGTCTTCAGGAAATGAGGGCACCAGTTAAAATAAGATAAAATTAAGTGATTGTTGTGAAACATTAAAAGCTTAAATTAAGCTTTTCCTCCTATTTTCATTCAGTTACTTGAACTCCTAAGCTTCCTGGGTCTGTCTCATTAGCACAAAGAAATACGGAAATCTTATGGAAATGTAGTTTCCAATGTTTGCAGCTCCATAATTTGCAACTCTTTAATAAATGGGGTGTTTCCAGGGTGTTTTCTGCTGGGGGACTGTTAATCATAAGCTGCCTCTCCTGAGCTGCCTTCCAGGTGCATCCCAGCTCATAGGTCTACAAACAACATCACAGCATCCCAGGAGCTGAGGCTGTACTCCCCCCCCAGGGGGCTTTCCAGAGGCATATTCATCATGTCTGGATCATTAGAGTCCTTCTGACCATGTCATTAGGTCTCTTTCACCTCTCAGGAATTTAGGGCAGCTCCTTTGTGAAAGCGCACGCTTCGGACCCGCGGCTGCGGTGGGAAGGGTGGGAGGTCTGTGTAGGAGCCCAGGGAATCCAGAGGAGCAGCTGGATGTCAGCAGCAGTTCATAAGAGGAGGAACAGCCCAGAGCTGGTGGGAATCACATGGGGCTGCCAGGAGAGAGTGGCACGTTTTTATATATCTTACATGGCCAAGAGTTTCCAGAAGAATGGAAACTGGAAGGGCCTCAGTGCAGTGCCTTTATATTTTTAGAAATGAGAGTGTGAGGACTCTCATTTGGGAAGGATTGAGGCCAAAAAGGGCAGCAGTGGGTTATCTCAGTCTGGCTTTGCACTGAATGAGGCAGGAGAAGACAATGGGAATGGAAAAGGGAAAGGTTTGCTTTTTTGACTTCTCAACCAGAGCTCAGAATAGCTGAGCTCCAGAGGAGTCCAACAGAAATTTGCCATTATAGGAACAATATGTATTATATTTAAAGATGACTTGGTTTATAGTCTTGGTTTAAAAGCTTCTACCTTTGGCCACTTTGGTCATTGCAGGTGTTCCAGTGCTACATTTTCTTGTCTTGCCCATGGGTACTATTGAGCTTAGTGTCTGGTAGATGAAATAAAAGAAATACCAGAGACACCTTCTCTCCAAGGGCACCTTTCACCTGCTCCCTGAACTTTAGTGGTTAAACTTCTTCAGGGACTCGATGCCATGTAAAGTCTGTTTCAGTATCAGGAGAGTACAGAAGCACCAGCAGCAGAGCCGTGTGCTGTATGTACAGTCCTGAAGTGGTTTTCTCTTTGTGCCTGTCCTCCTCCTGCCCTGAGCCTGCTGGCCCATAACCTCCAGCCCTTGACAGAAAAGGAGTGACCAGGAGTTTTGCTTTTCCAGGTCATGTCACAGGTGAATCTGACTCTGTAGCAGCCACATCACAGTCACCCGTCACTGCTTGGCTTTCTGGACCAACACTTTAATCCTCCAAACACCCTCATAATGCTTTTAACTGCAAGTTCTGCAAACCCAGGGTGCCTCGGGGCAGGTCAGTGCCAGGATGCACTGGCTCAGCACCAGCTGCTGGTCGAGGCCCAAGAGTGATCCTTGTCTTACCTGTGAGGTTTGAGTGCCTCTGTGGCTTTTTTCTCCATTCTGTTCTCTGTTGAGCTGCTCATTTTCAGCTCCCACCCTGCCCTCCCCAGCTCCCCAGACAAGGTGTGTTTCATCTAAAGATGATCTTCCAACCGTTCCTGATGTTCAGGTTGAAACTCTTTGCAACAGAAGGATGACCAGTAAATGACTCAGTCACTGTGGGAAAATAGAGGAGATAAACCTTTTGCCTCCAGTCCTTTTCCCAGTGGGAAGATTTCTATAGAATTAAAGGAATAGGTCCAAACATAAGCCATGTCAGGAGAAACTGAATGGAGACCAAGATTTCCTCTTCACCCTAATCACAACCTCCAGGCTGGGTGATGGAGTATGAGAGGCCCCAGCCCAGATGTGTCAGCACTAGACTGGGACTGAGGCAAAATGTCTCCAGATGTTCCCCCAGTGACGCTCAGAACTTTTCTAGGACTGTGTTTTAGCCCAGTGCTGTGTGGGAAGGACATGCTGACCTGCCTGTCCATGTGGGTCATGCAGGAACAGGCAACATCTGCCTCAGGCTGTGACAGGGAGGAGTGGGACAAGACCTGCCAGGTCAGCGAGGCCGCTCTCTGGCTCCCGCTGGCAAAGCAGCTTTGCTCCCAGTGCAGGATGACCCCGACCAGTTTAGGTGCCCCGTGTGCCCATGGCTCAGCACCTGGTGTTCTAAAGAAACTCAGCCTCAGACGCACGTTCTTGATTGCATCAGGCACAAGCAAAGTTTTATTAGAGACGTTTTTCAGCAGCAGGTACATTAGTGATGGCTGATCACTGGCTGACTGCAGCGATAGTCGTGGTGCTGGGCCACACACAGCAACACAGACTGGAAAAGCAAATAGCAAACCAAAGCAGAATGTGGCCCAACGCTCTGCTCATCCCTCTGGCATATTGCTTAGCACGGCTGAGCAGCGCAGACGAGCACGCCCCGTGCTCTCTGCAGACACATGCAGTAAATATTCTCTCTTCACCCATAGCTCTGCTTCAGGCTTCTCTTGGATATTCTTGTTTCTCTGCTTAATCACAAATCCTTCGGCAAGGCACTGGAGAGATCAAAGGAAACATTACTGTGTTTATGGCAAAAATGGATTCTTTCCCACACTGTCATTCCCCACACGTGATCGTTTCACAAGCCAATTCAATTAGAACTTCAGATAAATACTGCCCCTTCTTGGGAAGGTCTGATGGCTCCTGCCAGCCATGGATCTGCCAGATGGATCTGTTTGTGCTGTAGCACAGGCTGCCCTTCTCCATGCCAGGCAGTGGAAGCTGGAGATGTGGATGAGGGAATGGCATTGGGGTCCGTGCTGGAGCAATGCCCCTGCTCACTCTCATT